ATACCATATATATCGAGCGATCATTAGTCATCAATATTCCGATGAGCACACGTAGGTGTTCGTGTAATTGTATATCCAATTGTTTCTTAACGAATTAATAATATCGCATCCCTGTCTCATTAATATCACATTTCTCATCGAATTTCTGATAATTGTAACAATAACAATGGTTCAGAAATGTATATAACAATGCGAGAAGGACGGTAATTGGCCGGCAGCGTGGGCAATCTCTCCCGTCATGTGTTATAGCTCGATCGGCACGATCTAATGAAATTTTCAAGAAGAAGCGGTCCGGGAGAGTGACGTAGGAGGTGGTGCGTAGGAAAGTAATCTGGCTTGCGGTAATAACGCGGCACGCATATCGCTGACTAAACTTGCCTTTTAACAGTGAGAGGGGTCAGCGGCGCGGCGCGGGCGGCTAGAGGTATTTTTACGACGGTAACGAAACCGGTATGTCGAAGTAGCGGTTAGGGACTCGAACCGGCTATCTCCGGTGTTAAAACGTGCTATAATCCTATTTGCGAAACGCGAATCAAATTGGCAAGGACTTCGTCGGATCGTTCCGTGTATCTTGGGCACGTTTAGTATAATGAGGGAGAAGAGGGAAGGAGAGATGTTGCCGTGACGGTGATCTCGTGGGAAGACCGACGATCTGCGTTTGTAATCGGAGTCACCGGAGTTGTGGTCCTTCGAATAACTTAACTTCCGTCTCTGCTGCATTGTATATACGCGGCTTGCGTGCGAACGAACAACTGCGGCAGTCAGACCGAAGTTCGCAGTCAAACTTCCAGGCGGGAGGTGATGTCAGGACCGACCTGGATCGCAATCAAGACCGCAAGGAGTTATCGAAATCGTTTGGCAACTTTCGCTCGCTTCTACTGTCGAAAGAAAGGAAGCGGGAGGGGGGCAGCTTTTAGCGAGGAATTTTCACGAACCAGCTCTGTCGAATCTGGGAGACAATTGGTACCTCTATATACATATATTACTCGGATCACAACATCAGGACACTTGAGAGATATCCTCGTGGCACTCATTCACTGACAAATATCGCGAGAAACAGAATCTCGGAGTCGTCCGTCTCGACGGGCGCGAGTCCCTCCCGCTTGAAAGAACCCTCCCGACTTAATTGGCACTTACTACTTTCGGATCAGCCATCGTGATCATCCGAGAGCTCCGCTCGCCGGCATTCGCCTCGCGTCTCGCGTCTCCGG